TCCACAGCCACGAATTCTATCTGGAGCTTAATAAAACCTATATAAATAAAATATATTAAAACACGTGTTGCAAATAATTTCAGATCTTAATTTCTTGGGACACCTGTCTCCTATGTCGGATCGCTGGTTTGGTTAACAGGACGTTGGTTTTCCCATCCTTGCACTGAAGGGAGGATTGGGAAGAAGGGAGAATGCGGGACAAGGCAAAGGCCCGATCGGGGCGACGCAGCGCTCCCTGCCGCCAGCGCAGCCCCGACCCCGGACAGGCAGCGGCGAGGGCCGGCTGGGCCCGGGACCCCCTTGGGGAAGCTGGGAGTGAGGAAAGCAACAAGGCTTCGCTTCTGGGAGGTTAAACAAACAGGCCACTGTTACATCCTCCTTTGCCAGCAAGCCGTTAGGACTTCTAGATGAATGTCCACATCACAACGAGTTTAAATAAAATAAAATTAAAATCGTTGTTAAAATCGTTTTGACAATGAAACTGGTTCCTTGAAAGTTTCCAGTGTTATCCTTCTGTTTTCCAGAGCTTCCAAACGAAGCAAGTGGCAAAGCGATGTGGGATAGAAGCACACCGATGGGAAGTGTTCGTGATCCTCGGAGGATGTGTGTGCCGGTCCCCTGTGCCTCCCCAGCCCCACAGAGGGGCTGTGCCTATGCGAGTCCTCCCGAGAGAGTTAAAAAAAAAACACTCGTGGCTCGCCGAAATGTCGGCGGCTTGGCAGGAATCTGTGCAAGAGAGCCGGCAGCGGGCGGGCAGCACCTCACGCCCGTGGAACTCGGGTGACACAGCTCTGAGGGACGTGGGCTCCGCCGGCGCAGAGCTGCTGCCCGCCAGCCCTGCCTGAGCGTGGAGCCACTCACCTGGGAGCGAGGACTGGCGGGGAATCGTGCCCTCCGGTGGCCGCCGGCCGCACAGCCCGCCGACCCTCTGCCTCCGAGGCGCTGTCCCCGGCCCCTCCAGGCCCTGCATTAACCGAGATGCTCCGCAGCTCTACATCCTCCTCTCCTCTACGACCTACTGCGGTGAATAGGAAGGAAAAAAAAGGAGAAAGAAGCAGAAAAAGGGGTCTTGCACCCAGACCCTTTATATGTGCTTTCTGCCTGCTCTGCTGTTGCTCTGCACGTTTGTAGGCAGGCACAGAGTTTGCAGCTCCTAATGTGGGAAAGATTCCTTCCCTCATGTGCTTTGAATACAGAGGAAATTGCAGCTTAGATGTCAGTGTGGAAAGTTGCTGGGTGCTCTCGTGTCCCTTTTGAAGGGATTTGGTCTCGACCAGGCTTTCACCTAGCATCTGTAGGAAATTAGTGGGGAAACTTCAATTGATTTCAGTGGCCTTTGAGCAGGTCTTGAAGGTACAGCTTCTGAAGAAACACTGGACTGAAGGGTTCCACAAAAAAAATACTCACAGAGCCTGTCTCTAAGTGTCCACCAATGTAATAATTACACTGGCAAATATCCCAGGAAATCCCAGTGAGAGAGTTTGGTATTTTATCAGGGAGAACATCCTTTGAGAGATAAATTATAATGTATGGGGAATACTGAACAGCCTGCTGCAATGAAATTGCAATTTGTTTGTATGCACATAATACCAGTGGGCAACGTTGCAATTGTAACCACCAGGTCTTGTGCACATTAGTTCTAAAACTTCTTCACTGATTTATAAACATGAAAACAAAATCAGACCTTTCATTCATTCTGAAACAAAAATCAAAGAAGGAATCAAACTGTCAGCCTACTCCATTCAAAAGCTGTGGTGTTTTCTGCCTGGCTAGGGCAGACCCTGCTTGTCCCAGCTAGAGGGTGTCTCAGCAGCAAATGCGTGGCTGTACAAGGGCCAGCATATCACTGGTGGAGATCCCTTCCAGCTGTTTCCCTGTTATCAGCCATGACAACAATAATTACAGCTGGCTTGTTCTGTCATTCTGCTAAACTTATTCCTCATTTCATCTTTCTAGGAGCTTGTAGTTTATTCAGTTCCATGTTCACACCCACACCTGTAATCTAGACGGCTACTTTACCTGTGTTATACATTATTCCACAGATTACAAACTGCTGGAGCCCTTTGTGTCCTGACAGTGCCCCTTGCAAGTATTGATCCCACAAGCATACATTTTCCTGAGCTGAGGCCCAGGCAAGCCTTCATGAATGGACCTGGAAATATTCCTGGAAAGCTCTGAAGCTGCTTGCGGCTGTGCTTGCCACCTCAAAAGAGTGAAGCAGGGTTGACAGCCTGCCGAAGGAGCAAGGGGAATCCTCACCCAAACCACGCCTATGCATAGCAGAGAACAGGGCGTAATATACTTCATCCCATGCTCCAGAGTTTGCAGGTCTGCCTTAGTGGCTTTTAGAAGTTCAAAACAGATGGTTTAATACTGTATGAACTTCATGATGATTACTGGTTTACTGTGGAATAAAAAGCCTCCCCCTCCATCCACGTCAACACTGTATATTACAAAATAAAACAGAATTGAATTGATTTGTTTTAAACACTGCACAGTGCCTGCTCCCATTCCCTCCCAACCCACATGTATCAATACTGCAAAAGATCAGCCATACATGTGCATGCACACACAAACACACCTCACACTCCAGGATGTCTTTCTCTCTCACACAGACCCCCAGACATGACTCCCTGAACATCCACTCTCCACCAGACAGCTCCACACACTCCAGCACCAGCAGAGCTGCTGCTCATCAGCAGGCCTGGGGGGTCCAGGCAGGCTCATGCAGACAGCCCAACAGCAGCTCCCTGGGGCCAGACAACTGCCACCACAGCTCACCTGCCCCTGTACTCCTGTGGTGGTACTTGAGCACATGGTTTCTAAGTCAACAATAAATCAAAAAGCAAAATAAAAATGGTAGGATTTTCTGTGCATCCATGGCTTATACAGCAGCATGCAGGTCCCAGTCAGCACCACGTGTGTTCTGTAACTACTGCCGGTTGCCTTTGCTACAGTTTCCCTGAAGAGTAACTGACCCTAAACCAAACCATCTACCATGGTCAACCCCAATCATATGTCACTCCCTCCCTGCATTTCTCTGTGTCATTTTCCAAACCATATAACACTCCATCACCACCTGTCCTTGCCTCACTTGCACACCCTCCTCCTGTTCCATGGCAAAACCCCAGCATCTGTTCTCAGCAAGGTGATAGTTGCATAGGTTTGGATTTGCACTTTGTTTTTTTGATGAATGGGAGAGAAAGGAAAGAGGGAAATGCAGGCAAGGCAAGGCAAGCCTCCAGAGCTGCCTCCAGATGCGCACAGCTACTGTTTCCAACCTTTCCTCTGTAAGGGCACTGCTCAACACCCCAGAGGAATGCTGAGGCTCCGGGCACAGCCAAAATTATTGGTGAGAGGGAGGTGAAAGGAGAAACAGATCTTCTTACCTTAGGACAGCAGCTCCTGCCAACACAAGGGAACCCCTGAAGCTCCCCAGACAAGCCGTAGTGTCAAGGGGAGTGGAGAGGCCTATGGGTTGCAGCACACGCAGCAGGAACAAGACAAAAGCGAGGAAGCTGTGCTGGCTCACTGTGGGTCTGCATGTCGGTGTGCCTTCCCTTCCCTATTAACCAGTCCCTGTCTCCTCTCCTTGTCCTGCTTCCAGCTGTCTCCCACAAAAGAAGGTTTAGGGCAGACAGCTATTTGCTCACATCATGGCATGGAAGAACAGGAAGAGAACTAATCAAGGGGCAGCGAGGAAGCGGCGGGGCAGTTCCTCCCTCCCGCCGGGCGCTGCTGCCGGGAGAGAGGATATCGGCCGTGTCGGGCCGGGCCCGACGCCCCTTGGCGGCGGCGGCCTAGGGGTCCTGACCCCTCGCAACGCCTGGGGTAGGAGGCCTCTACCCGGAGAAGCAGAGTCCCCAGGCAGAGGTGACGGAGAGCTCTTTTCCCTGAACAGGAGACAGCGCTCTTCCAGAAGCCTCGTCTTTTTCGTCCCTGGGATTCTCCGCTCCTCTGCTCTTTCATTCACCCTCCCACCTCAAGCGCAGCCGGGGACCTGCAGCGCTGCACCGGGCTTCCCGCTTCCCCCCGCGCCCAGAGGTACCCCGTCGAAGCGGCCGACAGCGGTGGCATGCGGTGTCCTCGCAGGTTGCAGCAAAAGTGCATCGCCCCATTTACTAATGGATGGCAATTCCTAGCTTTCCTTCCCAGGCGTTCCCGTTTGAATCTGAGCTGTTGTTAAAAAGACACACCACCTGCTCTGTGCTGCTGGAGAGCGGGGAAGGAGGCACAAAGGCGGGGGATGGGGAGAAATAGCTTGGGCTGCAAACATAAAAGAGCATTTAAAATAAATAAGCTCTCTTCCCAGGAAGCGCCGGACTCGAGCGCCTGCAGAGAGGGCGAGCTGCAGTGAGCTGTCGGTAGGCACGGAGTGTCGGCAGAGAGGGTCTGCACGCCCTCCTGTCTCTGCTATGCCAGCCTGGGGACGCGGATCCTCCCGGGTTTCTATTAAGGCGAGCTCAAGGATTGGTGCGTATGTGCGAAATCAGTGCTTAGTTTCCCCGCTGCTTCCACCTCGGAAATGGCTTTCGCCGAGCGCAGTCCTTCAGCCTGACAGGACGAGGCTGTGCTGTTCCCTCCTCCCCAGCCCAGAAATGTGCGACTCCCTCGCAAACCCAGACCCCGGGGGAGCTTGGTGACGGGACAGCGGCGTGTGCAAGAGCGGGACAAAATTAGGATGTGCCTGGATGCTGCCCCACGGGTAATCTCAGTTTTCTCCCCCTAGCAGCTAGCCGTGCCCGCTGCAGAGGAGAGAGTCCTAGCGACACGGGCGACTCCGGGGCAGCCGCCCCCCGGCGCGGGCACTGAGCAGCCCAGCTGGCCCGTCCGCAGCCCCGGGTGGGTGCACAGGCACCCCATCACCTCCTGCCCCGGCTCCGCAGCACCACCCCGAGCCGAGCTCCAACCGAAGGAGCCTGAGGGAGAAAACGCGGAGAGGGAAGCCGAGAAAGGGGTTGGGGTAAGGATGTACGTGTGTGCGGGGTAGGGGGGGGGGGGTGGGGGCAGATCACTTGTGAATGGCTTGAAAAAAATAATTGGGGGAGGGCGTGGAGGGGGGGAAGCGGAAACTTTCCTATAAAACTCAGCAAAAGTCCCTCCTCTCCACGTCAGGCCAATGACACTGCTGCCCCCAAACTTTCCGCCAGCAGGAGCTATAAGAACCTCCAAGTCTTCAACTTTCTCCCAATCCCAGACACCTCGAAGGGGCTCCAAGGAGGGATCGGGAGGGAATTTTTTTTGTTGGCTTTTGTTTTTTCCTCTTGGATCCTGATGCCATCCCCCCTCCCCCCAAAGTGAGGTCCTCCCTCCCTCCCTCCCTCCTCCTCCTCCTTCTCCTTGCAGGCCAGCGAAGCAGCCGATCAAGGGGGAGCTGGCGGGTTAGGTGCCCCCCTCTTCTCCCTGCCCTCCCCCCCCTCCCGGCCCGCTTCTCGCGTCTGCCCCCAGAGATGATGCAGCAGGACGAGTCAAACTCTCCAGTCTCCCCCGCCGACGACAGCTTGAGCAACAGCGAAGAGGAGCCGGACCGGCAGCAGCTGCCCAACAACAAGAGAGGGGGGCGCAAGCGGCGCTCCAGCCGCCGCAGCGCCGGCGGCGCCGTCGGGGCCGCGGACGAGCCGTGCAGCCCGGCCCAAGGCAAGCGGGGCAAGAAGTGCGGGGCGGGCGGCGGCGGCGGCGGCGGTAGCAGCAGCGGCGGCGGCAGCCCCCAGTCCTACGAGGAGCTGCAGACCCAGCGGGTCATGGCCAACGTGCGGGAGCGGCAGCGCACACAGTCGCTGAACGAAGCATTCGCCGCCTTGCGGAAGATCATCCCCACGCTGCCCTCGGACAAGCTGAGCAAGATCCAGACCCTCAAGCTGGCGGCCAGGTACATCGACTTCCTCTACCAGGTCTTACAGAGCGACGAGCTGGACTCCAAGATGGCAAGCTGCAGCTATGTGGCTCACGAGCGGCTCAGCTACGCCTTCTCGGTTTGGAGAATGGAGGGCGCCTGGTCCATGTCCGCATCCCACTAGCAGGCGGCGTCCCCCACCCGCATCTCCCCGGCAGGAGCCCTAGGTAAGGCAGGGAAGGACTCCGAAACTGGCGGGGAGAAGGTTGGAGGGAGGAAGGGCTGGAGAAGGAGGCAAGGGACCACCAGCTGCGCCGTGGGCCGGGCACGAGTGACCGTGAGGAGAGAGGGAACCTCCCCGTCCGGCGGGGCCTGGCTTCCAGGGCCGGCCGGAAAGCTGGGCGGCTGGAGTAGCCTTCCACCACCGCAGTGCGTCCCTCCCCCTGTGCAGCCCAAGGAGCGCTCCGGCCTCGAGGGGCCCAAACTTGTTGCCGGCGGGGATGGGCTGCGGGAGGGAGGCGGCGGTGGCGCGGGTGCACCCTGGCCAGATGGGGCCGGCCTGGGATCACTTCTTCACCAAAGGCTGCGGAGCCAGCGGGGCTGCTGGGATGGTTCCTCCAGCTGTGATCCTGCTAGTATTTTGGAGAGAATCTGTATCCGCTCTTGTCTTTCCCGGTGAGGGTTTCCTACCCCTTCTCCGGCTCTGGCACCGCGAGCTGCCGGGCTGGAGTGTCACTTGGCCACCGCACCCCCTGCTCGGCGGAGGCAGGGGCTTCTTCCTCCTCCACTCATTCCCAAGATGTGTATTTCCAGAGACAGAGAGGTGTAGGAAGATATGTTTGTGTCTTTCATTTCAGTAACGAGTTTTCCGCCGTCTCTGGGTTTTTGCAGATGACATTGTTCCCACAGAAGGAGAAAATGGACAATCTAGAGACTCTGAAGTTGGATACGATCCATTTGGTCTTGTCTTAAAAAAAAAAAAAAAGTACCAAGGATTTATTGGAAATTAAAAGAGTGTCCTGGGTTCAGCAATATCCAAATTCAAAGCAGGGCGTGGGGAGCACTTAAGGAAAGAGACAAGGGCTTTGGAGAGTGACTATACTTTGGGCGTCGGTACAATCCACACATCTCTGCATTCTGATAGAAGTCTAAACAGTTTTTTTTTTTTTATTTTGACGAAGAATGTTGGAATTTAACTTTTTTATTTTTATTTGCCTTTTTTTTTGCATGCATTCCCAAGAGGTCGTGTCTATGAGCCACTGATGAAAGGAAATACATTATTGTGGACTTTCTTCATTCTTGAATGAAACCAACCAATCAACCAAAAAATATCCCTGTAGAGATGAAAACCAATTTTTTTTTTTTTTTTTTAGGGGGGAATAAGCTGGGCTCTAGCTGTTATATACCCGGTTCCTAACTTTTTTATTATTATTATTTTTCCTCTGAGAAAAAAAAACATTTTATTTATTTATTGATGACCCATGTTAAAATGCAAATAGATCCGGTGTCTAAATGCATTCCTATTTTTATGATTGTTTTGTAAATATCATTGTATATTATTTTTCTGCAATAAATAAATATGATTGAAATTTTAATAACCTTAAAGTTTGGTCTCTCTGGGAACTCAGGGTTGGAACTGGAGATAAATACCTGCTTGTTGAGCTGTAAAGACACCCAAGAGAGAGGAGGCACTAGTATAAACAAACCGGGCGAAAAACGCAAATAAACTAGCTACTGACAGACATAGGCAAGTTATTTATTGAGACAGCTTTATTATTCTGCGCTGAAGCACACTGCATTTGCGGGGTGGTGTATGTAAGATATTCTGTCTTTTCTCACTCTCCCCCTTTAATCTTAGCGCCAAGCTCCGCAGAGTTCTGCAGGGTGAGAACTTAGAACCGCAGAGCTCCGGCGCTAATGTTGTGCTTTGCCCCCCAGATGTAAGGCAGGAGCCGGGCTCATTCCCCGGACCTCGGCGCAAACGGTTTTGCTTATATCCCCGAAGAAGAGGCATCGCTTTTAAACAAGGATTAGTCCATCCACAGGCAAAGTGACAGAAAGTGAGTCTGAAATAGGGAAGTGTCTAGCGAGTGATGTTTTCCGGTGGAAGTGATGTTTGACTGCTCTGCTATCTAGGGTTTTATATAATGTACACACCAGCGATCACATTTTCGTTGTGCAAAGCATGGAGGGATATGATAACCCTACCTCTTCTCGTTTTCTAGATGTAGGGCACATGTTGTGTCTGTTTCTTTTCCCCATGCCCTCCGCGGGGTCCCAGTATGCGGCGAGACCCCAGATGTAAGAGAGAGGAAATCTCCCTATATAAGGGCTTGGAAGGAGGAGGGTGAAAAGGGAAGTTGTGCAAACTAAAAGAAAAAAACCCCAAACCAACCCAAAACCAGCCCTTATAACCGGACAACTGATTCTTCCTCTGCTGTCACTTGCTCATCTCTCAGCTCGTTGCAGCCGGTCCGTGCCCGAGGAGCGGCACCTCCTGCTCCCCCACGGGGGCGGAGAGTGGCGGGTGAGTCCGCCGCGACAGGGACCCTGCTGGGGTTCATCCAGTGTCCAGGGTAAATAGGAAGGGGTGTTTTTTTCAAAACAGAGCCTGTTTGCATAGCACAGGTTGAGCTGACTTTATTGCCTGAATGTTTTTGTTTCCATACCCACGTATTACCCACTATTGCTGATATAACAGTATTATGAATTTAATATCGTGTATATTTTAGGCCAGTGTGCAATTACAGTAGAGACCCCTCCGCTCTTGTTTGCACTGCCGGATTAGAAAGGACTCAGAAATTGGATGGGGCTCTGGTGGTCTTGGCCCTTCGTGATGCAGAGGAGGAGGAACCGCGGCCCGCTCCCCGGCTGCTGCCACCCGGACACCTACAGGCTCCCCGGCACCCGCAGCTTCCCACTCGCCCACTCGCACCTCCCGAAAAACCTCGCTCCGATCCGACCCGGCTGCCGAGGAGGGGGTAATGGGTGCCCACGGTATTTCGGCTGCAGGAAAAGCAAAGGGCAGGGGGGGGATTTGATAGGCTGGGGGTGGTTTAGGTTGCTCCTTTTGAGGGAGAAATCACACCAGGGAACGGGGGGTAAAGCCTTACGTTTAGGCAGAAAACAGGTTCGAAAAAATCTGATACTGGGTGCCGAGGAAAAGTTGCATTTCGTGGAGGGGAATACCTGCGAAATATGAATGAGGAAGCAAGTGCATTTGAAAAGTCAAGGGCCAAGCTGTGCTTGCCTTTAGAAACCCGGAGCATCGCTGCTTCCTGGACTTAAACCCTCTTGACTCCGTCGCAACCAGCAAGAGGCCTCTGGCCCAGCCTGTGCTAGCCCTTTCCTGCAAGCTGAAGCACCCAGGTAAGAACCCTCCCTTCAGATCTTGCTTGTGGGGCTCATGCCACGGCCAGGTCTTTTCCCCTTACCCCGGGTCCCTCCGGCCGTGTCCTTGCTGGTGCCACAGCCTTCCCAGGCACCCAGGCACTCAGCTGGAGCGCTCCCGCTGCCAACTGCCACCTTCGCTTCATTAATAAATAAATAAATTACTTAAAAGGAGACAATCCTGATTTTAAAACACAAGCTTGCCCTTTCCTGGGTTGGAACTGGGGACTGCAGAGACCTGGTGTTCCTAGGGCTAGAGCCAACAACGATTAAATCAGAGCCGGGCTTACCGAAGGAACAGCAAAAACTACATGTGTATTAATTTGTCTTCTGGGAATTATAACCACTCTTGAAATCAGAAAATGAACTCTGACTTTTGAAGTCCTGATCGATTTTGCTTCTTTCTCCGAGGAATCGCTATGCCCCGTTTACTCGCAGAAAAGTAAACCCGAACGAAGAAGAAGTCCGGGTCCAAGCAGCTGCCGCTCCCTGCCGAGCCCCGCGGAGCCGGCGGAGGGCAGCTGCGGCGGGTGCTCTGAGCTTCAACCTCCCGCAGGGCTGCGAGCGGGGGGTGCCGGCAGCGGGCCCTCGCACCGCATTCCTGGGTTTGGCAGGGCTGCTTTCTCCAGGCCGGTATCGGATTCCTCCCAGGCGTATGATTTCACTTGAAGTCCTGGCCAGGAGCCCTTCAAAGTGCACGTTCGTCCCGCTCCCATGATGTCAGGCGGTTTCCCCCGCATCTGTAATTTTAAGCAAAACAAACAAACGCGCGGTGGCGGGGGGAAAACGGGCAGGGGGACACAGAAGTCACAGAAGAGAGGAGGGGGAGAGGGGCTCACCTGCGGCGCCGGCAGCGCGGGCACCTGCCGCCCGGGGCGAGCCACCGCGGGGCTCGGCTTCCCCAGGAGCCATGCCCGGGAAGGGGCTTTGCCCCTTGCGCCGGTGCCCCCTGCTCCCGGCTGGCCCGGTTCACACGGCGCTGACTCCTCTGCCCTGCTCCCGCTGAGCGGGAGCCCTCCGCCATAAATTAGCGTCTTTGGGAAAAGGGTGGTGGTGGTGGTGATGGAAAGTTCAGTTCACCCCTCAGAGGGATCCGGGGGGCTAAGGCGAAAAAAGGAGGCTCACACATCCTCCACATCCTACCAGGGCTTCCTTTATTTGCCGCACACGTAACCTGGCCGCAGTAAACATGGCACAGGATGTATTTTACATTAACTTCTGCACCAGCTTCTTTCGATTTCAGTCCACTTAATGTTCTTGGCAAATCAAAGCACGTGTCCTTTGAAGGTGTGTAATTGGAGTTTAAGGCATGTATGGAATTCCCAGATGTCTATAAAGTAAGACGGAGTATTTGGCAGGTCACTTGAAGGTGGAGCAGGTTAAAATCACTTGTACAAAAGTGTGTCGTCGTCGTCCTCCCCCCCCCCCCCCTTTTTTTTTTAAGCAAACAGCCGGCCATTTATAAGGGCCCAGTGATCGAGATTGCGGGAGGCTTAGAGCAATCTTACAGAGCAGGAACAATAAGGTCCCGGAAACATAATAATGATGGTAACACCCGCCTAAAAAGCCGAAATAAAACGCAAAACTAACCCAAATACTCAGATAGGGGGAAATCTGCCCATTCTCCCAGTAATTCCCCATTTCAGGAGCACTTGCACCCCACTTATTTAGGTAGTCTTCTCGTTTGGGTAGCCGACACTTCTCCACTCTTTTCATAAAGAGGTGGTGTAAATTTGCAGGAACTTTACGAAAATTCCGTAATTCACTACATGGTCAGGGGCAAAAGAGGACACGTTTCACTCCAGAACAACCCCGACGAAACACCTGGGAATCAAGACCGCTACAGCGATAACAGCAGCAATTACCGTTAACATAAATAATAACGGAATCGGTCTGGGACAATTAAGTACGCATCGCTTGGCTTTGGGAGCTTTACCAGAATTGGTGCAATATCTCAGCCCGAGCAGAACCGCGGGTTTGCTTGGAGGGCAAACTCTGGTGCCTGCAATGTCGAAATCCCTCCGCTCAATATTCCTGCTGGCCGGAGACCCGCTCTGCCCTCCTAATGAGGGGAAATGTGGAGGAGGGGGGAAGAAGGATGCTCTCGGGAAGGGTCGGGGTCGCCCCTCACGTTTAGGGTTGCTTTGTTCTGTTCTGGACGCGACAGAGTCATTAAACAAGCAGTCAAGAAAGGAGCAATCCGCACGGCTGCAGCCGTGGGGGAAAGAGGAGCTTCAGAGGGAAAATTTTGACATGTGAAAAGTTAAGCAGGTACCTGAAGGAGGTTTATTTTGACCAGATGTTAGAGCTTTTATGAAAATGTCACGTGAAGCGAACAGATGTACAACTTGCAAATAGAGCCCCGCCTTATAAACACTGGGAAGAGAAAGGCTCACAGAAAATCAAGCATAAGTCGTTCCCCTCGTTTTCGATATGTGGGTGTTTGTACATAGATATACAGTGTCTAGGTTCTACTGAAATATTACTTTTTTATTTGTTTGTTTGTGAAAAGGAAAACGCAGCTATCCTCTTCCAGTGTGTGGAAGCAAAGTCACTTTCTCCTTTCTTCCCTTTTCTTCCTTCCTTCATTTACTTCCTTCCTTCTCTTTCTTCAACCATTTTTTCTTTCTTTTCTTCCAATTTCCTTACTTTTACCTGTCTCTTTCTTTCTCCCTCTCTCCCCTGCCTGTTGCTCTTCCTTTCTATTTCTTTTTCTTTCTCCTTTTCTTTTCTTTTTCTCTTCTTCTCCCCCCCCCCCTTTTTTTTTTTTCTTTCCTTCTTCCATTCTTTCCCTCTTTCCTTCTTTCTTTCATTTTCTC